AAACCAACTTCTGACTTCAGGGCCTTACTTCTGTGTCACAGAAGTCTTAGCTGCCTGGTCTTTTGTCTGTTTCTGACTCAGCGTAGCACCTGTGTGTTCCAGATTTTTAATATTGGGGTCTCTAGACAAGAAGGCTGATGAAATCTTTATTTAATGAGCTTGTCTGGGGGTTGTATATTTTCTTTGTCCTGAGTTTCTTCTGAGAGGAAGTAAATAACAGTTTCACTTACAGCACACACCACTGGCTGTCTGCAAAATGGGATTTTTTAAAGTAATAATAATAGTACCTTATTCATTATTTATAAAGTAATTATATTTGAGCCCCTACTGTTTCCATTCATCCAAATGATATCAAAACTGAGAGTGAGTGAAGAAGGAGGGGACAGATATTATATTCACATTTTTCCATCAAAGTATTTTTCCTAGGCTGAAAATACTGAGGGTGGTTCTCAGCAAAAGATGCAATCCAGGGTTTTTACATGTTTACATGGATGTGTTTTGTACCGATGGTGTACCATTGCATGTATTCTGCCATATTTTCTGACATTTTATGATATCATAAGCCTTCCTTTAACTCTACAGCCAATGGGGCAAAGTATACATGGAGTAAATGGGCTGAAGGCAAGAAAACCACAGTGCCTCTAATCACAGGACTGTATTAGTTAGGACTAACTATAGGAACGTCTTACATTGAGTATTTGATACCCAAAAAGAAGTAGAGCTGATTCTGTTTAGATATTCTTTTCTGCAGTGGTTATAGTTTGAGAGCTGGCTCACCTTTGATAAGAAGTCCTTTTCCTTATATTTAGTGCTGACTTTCGTAACTGAAATTAAAATAATCTATTTTTTTCTATATTGTGTTCTCTGATTCATAATTGTCCATAACTTTTTCATAAGAACAAGGTAGTAAACTGTTAGGTGATTGTCATAGGAAGAAATTAAAATACGAAAATAATAAAAAGGCAACTATTTTATTCAATTATCCATTCATTCAGATGACCATGACCTTATTATGTGTTCAGAACTGTTGCTGAGCAAACAATCTGTAACGAACACAGCCCTTACTTTCAAGGTGCTTATAGCAGAGTAGAGAAATAAGACATTCACACAAGTAACTATGATAGAATTGAAAATAAGTGCCATAGGAGAGTTAGATATACGGGCATCCAGAGGAAAGATAAATTGCTTCTCTATGTCATTAATGTCACAATGAGCAAGATTTAGAAATATTTGAGATTCAGGACTCAAGAACATTCACCTCTCAACATCACCTCTGGCTCCAGGGGCATTTCAACTACACATCAGACAATTTTAATTTACTATTGAACATCTTTACATAAATATCAGGATTTCAAAATCACCATGTCCGAAACTAAATATCATTTTTCTCGTTAAACCATCTCCTCGTATCTTTCCTAATTTCTGTTCCCAAGCCATTTTCCTATTTCTGGTATTCAAATAACCCTGTTTCTACATTTCAGTCACATTCTCCCTCATTGCCAGTCAATATGTCAAATCATAAACTTTCTACTTTCTTAAAGCTCTTCCTAGACCCTTTGTTTCATTTTATTGACAGACTCTTGGATTTGCAATGACAGTTGAACTAGTTTATCTTTTATTTTTCTTTTATTTATTTTTTGCTTTTTAAATTTTTTTATTTCCTTTTTTAAAAATTTTTCTTTATCTTTTATTTTTCTTGACTCCAATAGTCTAATCTATATTCTGCTGACAGATTAATCTTCCCATTTTATAGTCATGATCATATAATTCTCATACTCAAACACATTTATAGACTCAAACTAATTAACTATATGAATCGATATTTCTCATCCTGATAGCCACTATCTCCTGAGGCTCTGTTTCCAACCTTATTTCCCAGTACTTAACTATGCCCCAAGTGTGACCACTTTCCATTTCTAGACTAGAATATACCAATGTTACAATGTATCTACTCAATAAATTTTGTTCCTCTGGAACCTCTTGAATATCAAGCTTCAAAGCTTATAATAATTTCCACTTTAATATGTGGCCTTTTCTGATGTCCTTATACCCTAACCAGGCTTGTTGTAAATTTTCTGTGTTATTCTTTATTTATCTCTTAAAGCCTACAAGATAATCAAACTTATATGTAACTTCCCTCATCTTGCTCTCTCCCCCACTTCTACAGTGAGGGCTGAGTTTTATTGAGTTCTATAAACCTACAATATTTAGCATGGAGTCTGCTGATAGCATGTTTAATCTTCCTTTTTCATGAAATTGAATGTTCAATCACTAACTAATTTCTCGAAGCAATTAAATCCTTATTCATATGCCAATAAAGAAAATGGTGTTTGTCCCTGTCTGAGAATGCCTACTACATTTTAATCTTTCCCACGTTGAGGTAAATTTCAATCAGCAGGCAGCACTTGATGCGTACATGTGTATTGCTTCCTCCTTCTTGGAATCTCTCATTAACTTATCTCTGTCCTGACAGTCAAAAGCTCATCCATAATAGATTTAAAAGCCATAAAAGCCACTGTAGGGGTCTGTTCAGTTTTAAACACAATTTAGAAAACCTTAGGAAAGAATGGCAATTCCCTTTCAGAAATCTCCCATACATATTTCAATAGAACAGCTTTCCAAATTGGAGATTGAAAAATATACCACCAACCAAGTAACAAAAAGTCACTCACTGACTGTGATGTAGAAAGATTCCCTTGATTTTCACAAAGAACACAAAAGACTATATTTTACTTATTTAAATCTGAGACTGACACAAAACGTCAGAAAAAAAGAAAAGTAGTCAATTTATCTAAAAGATCATTATTTAGGAATAAATTGCTATGCAAAAATGCATGGATCTGCTTGACAGCTTGTGAATTTAATAAGGCAGATGAAATGCCTCCCTCCCTCACCCTCAAGAATCAACTTTGCTGAAGAAATATGTTAATCATCCTACGTTTGGGGAACATATAAAGCTCTGAAATCAATGTGTATCTGGAACCGAGGGTTAAGGAAAAAAACATAATCAGCTTAGGAAATGCTTTATTTCCTGTGCTTAATCTGCAAAGAGAAACAAAGCAGGCAGAGCCAGGTGCAACAAAATCATACACGTAGATGGGAAGTTCAGCCGTTTCATGCTCCACTCAGATGGTCAATTTATACTCCTGAGCTATAGCCTCCTCTTCTAAGACAAATGGATTAGCTTTGTTTTATTCATTTGTTTACAAATACGGGCCTTCAGTTAACCTGTAGACTTATTGGCTGACTTGAAGGAGATAGTTATTATGTAACTATTGTCTCTGCTCACATGGGCAATGATTCTACAGGGGTTAACAGTTCATTAGAAAGAAGACACTGTCAACAGGTTGGGCTCATTACCAGTGAGCAAAAAGAGGTATGTATTTTCCAAAAATGACCATAACAGAAAAACCTGGAGGACATCTCTGGGTTGTCCTTCACCTTCATGTCTTAAGGCCAGGTATTGCAGGCCACTTCTATTGATGCTATTCCGCTTTACTTTCAGAAGGACAAATGATCTATTCAGTTTAATGGTACCAGCAAAGTACTCTACTCACTGATGCATGTGGACCTGGAGCAGCAAGCAGTCTAAGCCAGCCTTTCAGACTTTACACTAATCTGAACATCTAATTGTTAGCAGTGTTTTCCATGGCATTGAGATTCCTATCAATCTTCCCCAAGCACACTGACGTTACTTATAAGCTATGTAATGATTTCTGTGGCACCACACATTCTTTTCTTAAAACGATTTGACTCCAGTAACTCTTCTAATTTAATTTTTTTGATCTTGATGCTTGCTGCAACGTAACCTCAGAAACTCCAAGATACAAGATGAGCAAATCTGTGTGAATTTGAAGTGTTTTTGAATTTGTCCTAAATTTACATAGATATTTTGAGAAATGACTGATAAAATGCTGTTCAGGAGGGATGTACTTATTTTTTTCGACTTTATCACTGTAAATTAGAATTTTGCAGGCAGCAATCTTTTAAATTGAAAATGAGCGAAATAAAATTAGAAATGAATGATTCTGGTTTTTTTCCCTCAAGACCTCTGAGAGTCTGAATCGGTCTTTCCTGATTGTGTTCTTTTACGGTAGTTTGTACTTCAATTTTCACACTTATTAAATCTATTTTGTATTAAAATCACATGCTTATTTCTCCCAATTGTACATCACTATGGGCAAGGACATTTTACTTGTTTTTATATTCCTTCCAGCACAGGGTAGGAACCTAATAAATATTGATTAAATTGTTTATTTTCAATCACTCAGGAAGGGTTAAAAGTCAAATGTAAATCATTCTCAAAATTGTCCATTAATATATTCAAAGCTTATGTAGATACATATCTATCTTTTAACTGAGTTTCTTAGTAAATACGTAGGATTTTATGTTTATTCCTGAAATGTTATGCAAAATATGTATATGTGCTTAGATATGTACATATTTCTTCAGCGAAAGTCTATAGACTGTAATCAAATGAATCTCTCTCTACTCACCCTACCCCAAAACATAAAGATACACTTCCCTAGGCAGCCTTACCCAACTTGTCAATTTATCAGACCTGAAAAAAGGTTGGGAAAAATACAGGCTAACATCTGCAATATAATATCTCCGATTATAGCCTTTCACCCACACATGCCAATCTTATTTCTGAGCAACATCTGAAAACAATATATTTTGGAGAGAAAGTATATTTTTAACCAGTATTCTATTCCCAGATTTTTATGCTGTAAAGAGGCCACTGTACGTTTCCAATACTTTGTGATTTCATCAAACATGCTTTCAGGGTGCTGTACCCACAACATTTCCCTTCCATAGAAACAAATAGGATCTCTCTCAAGCCTTCTCCATGCACTCCAAGTCAACATCCAAACACTCAACTCAGTAAAGGAATTGCTGCATCAAAGTGTCAGGGGAAGATCTCTGAAAGTAAACTGAGGCTGAGTCACCCACTACTGATTTCCAATCTGTACCACCAGAAGAATAAGAGACAAAGATACCTGTGTTGTTGACGTCACTGCTGCAAAGGCTGGGCAGAAGAAAAAGAACGGTCACTTGAAGCAGTTCCATGGTGCCTGTAGATGGTGTCAATGGCTTCTCTCTCAAGAGGCAGGCAGGAACAATTCCCTCCCAGCCTGGCAGGGCCTTATTAGCAAATGGAAAAGGTGTATTGAATGTGAATAGCCACTGCCCATTCCTACTTATTTGGGGGGCTCTGATAAAGAACGGGAGGAAATACACATGCTCCCTTTGGGAGTTCAGCAGAGAGGAGATTTATTGTTTCAGTCCCTTACAGGAACTCTTTTTTTTTCCTCTCTCTCTTCCTTTGGCAGCCACTTGTGTTTTTGTTACTACATTATTTTGTTCTTCTTCAACAGAAAGGTCAGGACGGGTTTTGAACAGAAAGAGATCCTTCTTGAGAATGGATCATAGCGCCTTCTAACTTTTGTTTTGAAAGTGCATTTTGAAGTGGTTATAAAGGGGCCTCATTTAGCAGCTACTCCCTTGGGATAAAGAGGCTTTCACTGCCCGAGGTTAAATTTTAGGGCAAAATCCATCAGGAATCAACTTAACTTTTCTCTTTCCAACTTGAAAGCCAGATTAGTGAAGCCCACCTTGTGGATATCAGTAAAAAATTGTATTAAATAGATTATACTCTGCTCTTGAGTAAGCAAAAAGACTTTTAAAGGATGTCCAGAGGTTTTTCCAGAACTTTTTAATAGAATTAAGCAAAGACACGTGAATGTCCATTGACCACTCCTGGTTTTTACTAAAGGACTTTGATGATGAATAAGGAATAATTACTTCTAATACCTCATGAATGCTCTTCTTTTATTTTATTTTGTTTTATTTTTGAGACAGAGTCTCGCTGTTGTGGCCTGGGCTGGAATTCAATGGCACAGTCTCAGCTCACTGCAACCTCTGCCTCCCCAGCTCCAGCAATTCTCCTGCCTCAGCCTCCTGAGTAGCAGAGATTACAGGTGCCCACCACCATGCCCAGTTAATTTTTGTATTTTTTAGTAGAGACAGGGTTTCGCCATGTTAGCCAGGCTCGTCTCGAATTCCTGACCTAAGGTGACCCACCCGCCTCAGTCTTCCAAAGTGCTGGGATCACAGGTGTGAGTCACTGCGCCCGGCAGATGAATGCTCTTCTTTAGGGGACAGGATTAGAATGGCAGTGAGTGAAATGCCTTCATACATCAGTGAAGCTGGGAGAGGTCGATTCTTTAAGACTGGAAAGTCAACCAGGCTGGACAATCTATACAGCAGGGGTCACTTTGATGTCAGTCATGACTGATTAAAACATGGTGATAACACTGCCACAGCCCTGGGTACAACCCTGTGTGTGCCAATGACTTCATATTTTTCCTCAGCCACAGGCTTCATGTCTCATTTTAGCCAATCATCTTTTTATATACCTTTACTCAGGCCTTAATGGACAACATTGTCAATAGATCAGTGTAGATTCATTTGCCCCACAAAAAAAAAACTATTCAAAAATTATACCTTTACCTGTTTGCAAAAAGGGCACACATTTCACTGCTGCACCGTGCTGGGAAATACTTCATACAAAAAGAGTTAGAGTGAGTCAACTGCTCAAAACACATAAAAACATTAGCTTATCCAATGTTACACCAGGGGTCAGAAGAGCTAAGTTTCTATTTTGTGCATAAGCAAGATTGTATTTTACCCTCCTCTAATTGATTTTCTAAAACAGACTGCCTTTGGGGTTGTTACTTTATTTGGCATATCCTGGAGAATATAAAGATAGGAACATATGTGAGTAGATGTCACATGTACTTTCCAGAAATAAATTGGGGTGTGGCCATGTGAAATCACAGTTGAACACTCACATTGCCTCACTTCCTGCTCCTTCTGTACTCTAACACTGGAGTTGACAGCACACAGAGTCACCACTGATGCTGGTCACAATGATTTCTTCAGGGATTTGATGGCATTTGGACTTCTCAGCCCCGACTCCTATGCATTTCCATTTAGTCGACTAGATATCTATTCTAAGAATGCCTGATAATAGAATATTAAGACTACTTAAAAGACAAAGTCCTGTAGATGAAAAAAAAAAAACACACAACTAAGAAAATACATCCTAAAATAGCTAGCCCCCCCAAAAAATTAAAATATAAGGACAGAAAAGAAAACAGTGAGGAGTAATAATTGGGGGTTAGGGTCAGCTTTGCCTTAGTAAATCAGGAGATATTTTTAAGGTAAAATATTTAATTAAAATAGTAATGGTTACCAGAAGAGACAAAAAGATCAGTGGCATAGAATAGAAAGTACAGACACAGAAATATTTATATTTGTTGCTATCTACATGTATATACACACAGATATATTTACAGATATGTCTGTGTGTATGAATGCTTGTGTGTATATGCATATATTTAGAGACAGATAAGATATAGGTGAGTTTAACATGTAGTAACAGTGGTTAATATGGTAACTATACATAATTGGGGTAATGAGGACATTTTATGCATGACACTAAAGACAAAGCACATAAAAGAAAGATGTCATACATTTGCTTACGCAAAAATTAAAAGATTTTTGGCACAATACACCATGAATTTAAAAGGCAAATAAAAAATTTTGTAACAGTATGTGATAATTTATCTTAAAAATACCTTCTGATCTAAAAAACAATGACCCTATATTTGAAAAAGGCAAAAAAATGTGATGCAAGAAATGGAGGGCCAGTAAAATGCAAAACTATATTCATCACTCCAGAGATCAAAGAAACAAATATCTCAACATCAAAACAGCATATTTTGCCCTTTATATATAATTAGGTATAGTTCTTGACAATTCTCATTGTTGACAAATGTTCAAATAAATTAACTGTCTTATTCTTGGGATATGATCTTTCTGAGATGTGACTTGGCAATATACATCAAAACTGTTAAAGAATCACACTATTTGAACTTGCAATTATATGTTTAGGAAATTATTCTTAAAAGGAAGATGTTCATTGAAGTTCATGTAATTACAAAAATTTGTTAATACATTATATTATTGAGGAAGAATATTATTCTGCCACAAAATACTAATTAGATAACTTTTTATAGACGTGGAAATATATTCATGACACTTTTTTGCATATATATGCATATATAATACATATGCATATAATATATATACATATAGTACATGTTGTGTATATATGTCAGTACACATATACACACATACACACACAGAGCAAGAGAAAGTGAGATGATACAAAATGTTAACACTGCTTATCTTCTGGAAGTGATTTGTGGGTAGTTTTTATCACATTTTTAAATTTTCCATAAAAAGATCTTCCAGAATAAACATATTGTTTTTGCCTCTTAACAACAAAAACACTTTTGCTTGACCTGATACATTTTGTTTAATTTAATATTTTTTTGTGTATATTTATACATATATTTATTAAACATTTTGTATTCTAACCTTCCAGAATGTTTTCATCATTAGGAAGTGTATAATTTAAAAGCACTTAAATAAAACAGAATATGTGAAGAGAACTGAACCACTCTAACCTGAGAGATGAATAAATGTGTTTGCTCTTGTTTTTTTGTTTCACAATTCATCTTCTGAATTGCTTGTCAAAAGAAAAGATAGCTGCTAGGAGGTCATGCAAGAGCAATCTTAGAATTCTTTGCAAATGCATATCAAGGCCTGTCATTGACATCTTTGACACGGAAGAAATTGTATAATGAAGACTCCAACACTCATGATTTATGTTAGCTTATGTGGCACTGAGAAAATTTATTCAGATGGCACCATTACTAAGTCCCCAAATTAAATTCCTTTTCCATACCTGCCTTCTTCCTCTTAGCCAGCTCATCACCATGAATAAAATTATCTAAAATGGGAGGAAAGCCAAGAAGTAATTTTATGAACTGGCAAAGAGCATAATCTCAAGTTCAAATCCTGTCTTTACCTTAGTTTTATGTGACTTACTGAGCTATTTGTCCTCTCCATGCTTAGCTTCCCTACAGAAAGATAGATTACACATCATGCCAACTTTCTAATGTAGTTTAGAAGATTAAGCGAGATTCCAGAAAGTCTTCTAAAAATACGTATTAAAATAGACAAACAATAACCTACTAACCTTAACCTTTAGAATCTTTCAGTTGTTGGGATTTTATATAAACCCTCTTATTCCATAGTGATTAAGAAATTTCCTAATATTCAGATGATGAGATCCCAAAATATTGTTGAGAACTGATTATACAGAATCCCAACTGTTCTTACCAGAAATTTGTTCTATGCTCCACTTTAAGATACTTTAAATATCAAGTGCTTTCTTCAGTGGAGATGGAATCAAACAGCCTACTTTTGTTACTTGCCTATTTGAAATGGGAATTGGGTGATCTCCTGAAGATAGTGGAAACAGAGCTGAAACCAAAGAGCTATTTAGGGCACATGATTTTGAAGATATTGAGTCTCCCTTCTTCAGAACCAAAATGGATAGGGAACATCAACAGTGGGAGGGCCCAGCCATTGGGTCAAACTGATGCCAGTAAAATCACTATCTTTCTCAGCCATCACATTCCTATTAATCAACTCCCAGTGACTCAGGGCCAATGGTATTTTGTTATTGCTCATATGGAAAAAAAAAAAAAAAAAGCATCATAGCAAATTGTTTCCTGAAGTTTCTCAAAAGCTTATCTCTCACATTCTCCAATTGTCCATCCCAATTTTACTCCTCAACATGTAAAGATGGTTCTCTCACCTCATATCAACTCCCTAACTTTGAATAAATCTCTTGATATATAAGGATATGAATACAGGGAAATTATAAAACCACAGTGGCTCAGAGATGAGACATACAAGAAGTTAATTTCATACAAATTTTTCCTAACATTGGAACACCCCTGCAAATGCTGAATGAGCCTCCATGCTAACAGATGAAATGATTGAGGCTCACTACTCCGTCAGGCAGTCCATTCTCCTACTGGACAGCTCTTCTTTTTAAAAAGTCCAAACACCATTCCTTCATCCTCATCAGCCTTAAGAAGCTCTGGAAATCACTGTAAAGTTCTTTAGCAGTTTACTCAACTTTCCATATAGCTTAGCTATTGCCAGCCACGAACTTTATGTTCAAGATTTTTGCTTGATGTCTCATTTTTGGTTTTCCAAAAATAGCATCTTATAGAAACGTTCTTCTCTTATATGGTGCCTATTAAAAAAGTATTGGGTGTCTAGCATATGCCAGAGATTTTTACATGTATGTTCATACAAAA